ACCATGGTGCTACACCTTGAGATGACGGCCTAACTATATAGTTGGGTTTGTGCTCTGGCTTGATGATGTCATCTGAACTTTATCCGAGGTAGATGTATTACGCTACAGTTTATTTCTGGATGTTGTAATAACGTAGATGGTGACTGCAGAGAATTTGTGAATCAAAGAGTTGTTTATTTTCCGGTGCAATACGACACGTTCAAGGACCGTTGTGGATGGACGCCAGTAGAGAATCACGGTAAGCCATCCAAGGGCAGCCTTGACAACACTGATGAAAAATGAATGGAATCAATATTTCTTTCTGTCCGGGTTCGAATATCAGTGTGTCTGTTGTGCATCTGCGTGCTCCCATTTATTGATAATCAGTAAGGTTTTACAGTTGTTTATCGCAATTCCATCAACTTTTGATCTGTAAATAACAGTTTATTTCAATTATCCTAGAAGAAGAATAAACTGTTCGTAAACAATTATTCTTTCTGTGACTTAATAAACCATATGCACTCGGAATACCCAGCAAGATGTCTTAAAATCAAAGTCGAAATGTTATTGTGGAAAGTACTTACAAACGGTCGCACTTCTTGTCCCTTAGGGTTTAGCACAAATGAACCGATTTATAGAAAGTTGAGGAATGTCACAAGTTATCCTTGTTTCTTGTATTGCTATGTTGAAATTTAAAATTTGTCATGGTTTCATCCAGTTTGTGCTTGGAAGAATCAACTGTGAGTGCAGAAACAGCGTGACGCGGTAGAGGATTCCAAATACTGCGCACTCTGAGGAGTGATGAATGACGCCGGCATTATAGTTGACATTTTTGGAGCAGTGATTTGATTGAGGTGGGTGTTGGGTGACAAGGTGAACAGTGAACGACATGGATGATCAGAGTTCTGCATTATTCGATACACCGAACTCAAGTCCCCTCGAATTCTGCGATACTGTATAGAGTACAGTCTCAATGATTCCGGTCTTTCCAAATATTTCTTTGTTGGCCTTGCAGGATCTTACGATCTTGTTGCATCTATGGATTCCACGCTTGAATTTCATACTCTATGTGGGGTCGAAAGTAAGAGCTGATAACAACTGTGGGTACAGCGTACGTTTAAGTTTACCAAATACTCGCTTTAGCAAACCAACAAGTCTTACAGCGGTGGACGAAGCCCCAGAGCAAATTTAAAGAACAACTTAGGTCGTTTTGAACAATGACACCGAGATCTGTATCATTTGCGACATACGGAAGTTGTTGATTACCCAGGAAATACGGAAACCGAATTTTGCGACGAAGGGATACGACCGTAAATTTCGATGCATTGAATTCGATGTCGTTTCTTGTTTTCTTGTTCGGATACACAAGCGCATACACGCACGCACACACACACACGCCCACTTGGTTTTGTTTGTGAACAATGCGTTTTTGATTTCTCTCTTAGTCTTCACTGATCAACTAAATATGCCTACATGTAGATAGACTGATGCAATGAAACGCTAATCCAAGTGCCACACTGCTTGGCATGAGGGGCTTTACTCGTCCTCAAATGGTGATCACTCCCTCTGATTATATAACTTTGTTAAGCGTGCAATGTATTCACATCAACAAATAAGATGAGTGAACACGTATATCTGGCTACAAAGATAAGTGTCCTTCCAAGTGCGGAAGTTTAGTCAATCTGATCGTGGATATCACCAAACTAACGCTTGGGCATTGGGGTTTGATGAAACCTGGGAAAAGAGCAGCTTTCATTATTATGACTAGGACTCAAATGAATTCTTCCTGTACAGAGTAAACGAAATGAGAACCGAAAATCCGGGAAGCACTATGAACAGCTGCTTTAACCTGGTTGGAGCCATTAATCGATCTAGAGATCGAACCCGGGACGTCAAATGTACAACACATGAAGTCTACCTCCTACTCAACCACCAGGCAGTTGACAAGATAATTTTTTTTAAATTTTCCTTATGTACAATATAGCACAACCCAAGTTTGTGGCTGTCATCGCACCTTGCTCATCTCAGCACTAGCCTCCATTCTTATGACTCGGTTGGAAATATTCCAAACCTGATTGTTTGCAAGTTGATAGTGATGGTGAACTTAATTCAATCCCCAGTTGGGTTGTGATGGATTCGAGCAGCGCTGTTGAGATCCAACCAGGTGAAAACAGCTATTCAATGCTTTCTAGCTTTTCAGTTCACGCTTTAATTACCCTTAACACGACAAAATTCCCTACATACAAAAAAATAAAATAAAATAAATGAGACGGATCATGTGACGAAAAAAGTTAAAACCTATGATGTGTTCCTTCATTTGTGTCCAAATCCGTGTGAGCGTGCGGCTGAGGGAAATGATCGACTATCGTATCGATCGATCAAAAACGGTAAACAAGTCATTGGAACTAATAGAAGGTGAGACTGAGAGAGAGAGCGAACAAAGTTGGTTTGGCATATCGGATTCCACAAACCCCTGAAGTAATCCAGAGGTAAGGTCTTCACGAACTGTCCCTATGATCAACAGTTTGGACAGCTTTGTTTATGGCAATCGCTTTGGCTGTGCACAAAAATCTGTGTTTTCTCTCTTGGTTAGTTAACTTCGGTGATAACCTCGGATGCCTTGTTTAGCGTTAGTTGGTGACCGGTGCTTAATGGATGGGACAGAATGACGTGCTACTGATTGATTGTTTTTATATCCTTTGATGACCTTGGCTGAACAACTCTCTCGACGCATTTCTGACAACTGTCTGATTGTCTTGTCTATAGACTGTTCCACGGGAGCAGGAATAAATATGTACAGAAAATGAGGCTGAAATGGAATTTGAATTGTGGCCTAATCCGCGCTACAATGTACACCATTACAGACAAACACAGCTGACCGTAGATCCACCCATCTATCCATCCATCCATCCATCCATCCATCCATCCATCCATCCATCCATCCATCCATCCATCCATTCATACATACATGTATACATACATACATACATACATATGTACGTACATACCAATATATATATATATATATATATATCAGACACATCATTAGTAGGACAATTGGAGAGCAATGCATTGTGTAGATATCCACTATCCTGACATGTCATTTCCAACCGCTCACAACCGCTCAGCACTGAAACCGTGTGCTGCTAATGTTTCTCGGCGAAAGAGAAAAAACAGGAGTGCATGTTCCACTGACATCGCATACTGAACAAAAGCATTCTAAACATTCGGCGCACTAGCTGTCCTCCCACACTCGAAACCGGTGAGTGCACGTTCATCATGATATATCGACGCGATCAATTGGTCATCGGGAACTGCAGTCAATTTTCTCGAGTTGGAAGAGATCCACTAGTGGTAAACCCTGTAGGGGACACATATGCTAGAGTAACGTTTTCGAACTGGCTAAATGCAAAATTCGACTGGAATATCCGCGTTCTCGGCAAAGTTAGAACGTTAATGACATCTGAATCGCACGCAAATATTTGGTGTCCAGCATCCACGGGACTTGATCGCAAGCAGGATTCCATTGCAGTTGATTGTTTCAAAGAAAAACAGCAATATCCTACGATGTTTGAAAACATGCAAACAGCAAAGTCAAATTACGGTACAGCAACTCGAAATGATTAATTTTCATTGTTATAATTTAAAAATGCCGAATCACTGTGTGAGCAACTAGCCAGCTTTTGATTGCTCATTTGTATCATGAACGCGTGTTTCGGAAAGAGAAGGATAATAACGGGTAAATCTCACGCGAATGGTTCCCTGTGTCCATTCCTAAGGAGTGACAACAATGTCATGAGAACTCGTTGTGGGGAGCGCAATCGAAAGGGACAAAGTTCACGCTATTGCCCCAAACGGTATCCATGGTCCATAGAAGCAATCTCTCTGTGGANGAAGGAGCAGCCCGGGGCTGGGGAAGTGAGTAGACCAGAAGAGAGCGGAGAACACGATGCAATGAATCATAAAGGGATGCAATGAAGTAAAATGATATTTGCAAACTCCACCATTTCGACATCTGATCTTTTGCTGAGTCTGCTTCGTCCTACAAAACAAAAGGCCGAACAACTGAGCAGAAACCGGGAGAAATTAGAATTACAAGCTTTCCTCACAGAACTATCTCTTTGAGCCCCAAAAAGAAAGAAACCGGTTTACATTCTGTGGCTGGATTGGCTAATCCACCAGAACCGTTCTGGGACACTGATAGCAAATCTTTAATAAACGTGTTAGGACCCAGAGGTGTGATGATCTACTTACTGAGTGAGTCAGCTACTGAACAAATGAGCATTCACGAACTACTAGGCATGCACAACGCAATGGATCGGTCAGTATGGATCGATAGAGCAGTAAGTGCTTACTGTTTGTTCAAAACCGAAATTCAGTGTAAATGAAAAAGTATATGACCTGCTCCAGTTCCTCAATCACAAGCTCTATTGATATACTTCCGTTCACAGGTCATCTTACCTCACTTCGCATCACACTGATTTGATTGTCGCAGACATTGTACGCGCTGAGTGAATGTAAGCAATTCATTTATAAATGAAACAATTTAACTCAGTATTAACCCTATTTCGCTGGAGAAGGCCATAGTTAGATCGCAGATGGAATATCACGTGCAAGCTTTGGTGTCCTAGTTGAGGATGTTTTTGCATCAAGAAGATGTAAAGATTTGTCCCTAGGATGGTCGCTGGAGTGTGGAGTTGATCCATCTACGTGCATCTCATTATAGAATATTGTATCCCGACCTAGCGCAACACCTTCTTTCATGGTTGGAAACTTTATCTCCGTTTTTAGCGTGAATCCATTCACTTTGTCATTTCGAGTGGTTCCTCCTCCTTGTCCCTTTCCAACATTTGGTATCAGGGGCTTTGTTTTGGCGAGGTTACAGATTTAGTTCGTTTTTCCACTTTCATTGTATATCCAGCCCCATGCATGCATTAAACCATTTTACCAGGGCAATCTAAAACCTGTCGATCGACGGTGTTCAAATAGGTTTTTCTCTAAAACCGCGGGATCCAGGAACGTTCTGAGTAACTATGGTTTGTCTCCTTCTCATCACCTGCCCATAATCAAGCTCGGAATCGACAGCTTCTGCACTGAGTGACTGTTTCCCTTATCTCCACTGTGCAGTAGTCCATACGAGGATGACATGGGCTTGGTCTCCCGTTCGAAGTTCAAATCACAAATG